AACAACGCTTGTCTAGCGTGTTACTGAAGTGGTACTACCGCTCCTACAGCTATAGTGCTACTCTACGCTGCCAAGGAAATGTGGAAGCACTAGAACCATGAGATGCAACCGGGTACAGTAGAATAAATTAATCAACTAGTCTACAGATTATGCAACTCAGTAACAAATCTAACATCAAATAATAGACCGCAACGAGGTGTAATGGAAATTTGGAGAAGTAAAAAGGTAAAAAGTGCATGAAATATTAAAAAGCGAAATTAAAAAAGCAGTAATAATGGAAAGTAATGATAATAGCAATAATAATATTAATAATGACAATGGTGATAACAGTAATAATAATAATGATAACAACAGCGATAATAGTAATAGTAATAATACAGTAATAATATTAGTAAATAAAATGAGAACGCAACCACTGCTGACTGACTAATTTTGGTTTCGTTAGCTAAGCCTTCCATTTTTCTACCCAAACTTATGCATTTTCATTTCAAACGTGAAAATTTGAGGTTAATTGAAAACGAGGCATGGGAAATGGTTCGTTTCTAGCCCTGTCTGGTCCAGTTCTACGTTTGCAGAGCATAGAAGGTGGTTTATTCAGAAGCAAGCAGACAGCTGCTGACAAAAACGATATCAATCAAACGTATTGCCCCCTCAGAGCGAGTCAAAAACCGGAAATGTGATTTTCTAGCTAAGTGGACAGACAACATTTTTTTGCCAACGACATGCGGCTTGATTAAAACTCATATCACAATGAAATGTACTTTATTCACCAAGGAAAATTTCACGTGTCATTCATTTTTTTTGGCAAAAAGAAAGGTCCAAGTGTCACTGATTAATGATCAATAGATGCTTTGCGCATAATTTCATCAATTGCTATTTTATATGAATGAGAGGGCCCAAAATAGAGAAGAATAGAGAAATTGTCAGATGCATAGTAGTGAGACGAAACACATTCTGTGCAAAGTCCTACAAATACTGCACTGATGGAATACTTGTAATATATTTCTTTCGAAAGAAGTTGTAGCAGTGCGAGTTGTGGAAGATTGCAATAAAAATTCAAAGACTAATTATACTGCAATTTATCATATGCTAGAATTGTCGTCCCTAAGCAGGCGCTTGACGGTCATCTTAAACAGGATGAGCAAATTGAACGTAGCTATATTTCACTGGCACTAGTGTTTCTTTTTTAACAAATGACACTCAAGGGACAGAAAGTTACTATTTGGGCAATTCTGAGGAGATAAAATAAGCGTGTAGAAGACATGGGATGCAAAAGCGGAATTCAAATAGCTCGAATGGGCTTCAGTACTGCTTGTTCCGGGTCTACTTTTTCTACATCAAAAGATTAATTTTTGAAAGACATTCCGGCTCAGCTAGCTACATTAACAATTACTCGAAAAATTCCGTTATAAAAATATTTTGCAAATAATGTCGCTTGTTTCTTTTAAAACTCGACACTTATCTCTTCATCTTTTTCAAGTTGTTTTGGTGGTAGACAGTCGTTATATTGAACATTAAATGTTAACATGAAAGTCCAGTAAAAAACCTTCATTTCGCATTTTATAGGCTCTTATTTGAAAAAGCAAGACATACGGAGAAGTTGCACAAGTAAATCGAAGGAAATGTGCATTAAAAGTCGAATAATAGTCACAGAGATGGCCACAGAAATAAAGTCAGTTTTAGACCTACTTCGGCCCTTGACTTCATTTTCAAATAAAGATCGATTTTACTTCTTTATTATGCGAGACCTCAAAAACAGATGCACCGAAAATGCTTTGACTACCGTATCGAATGATCAAAGTCAAACCTTGATCAGTTCCGTCAACTGTTTGCTTGGCGGAAATTCGAAAACAGCAGGCTCAGCGTTCACTGGTGCCTGGGGACGTGGTGATGCGCCGCTTAGATCGGCATGAATAACCGGCTTCGTACGATAAACAGATGATCTTGGAGACATCGGACCCGACGGTGATCGGATAGGTGAAGCCTAGAAAACAAAATCCAGAACCAGTTGAAAATCTAGTTCGACACAACCCCCTATCCATTCATCGTCACTAATTTGGCATCTCTGGGCTTTCTTGGACAACTCGCGTCTTAACATAGCAAACTGGCCAACAAACTGTCAGAAATGTTATTAATGGTGTGTTGGACAACATTCTAAAGCTTTCTTTTTGAAACAGTTCGTACAAATAATTTTACAAGCCCAGATCGAAAGTCAAAGCTGACATTGCGCGAGCTCGAGTTTAATTACATCTGAAGCAATATAATAATATCCAGATCTGCTATGAGCCATCTTACAGTTACCCAAGGAGCCAGCTACCATTCCTAGGTCCGATTCCCGCTTTTATAGATAACTTTGTTCTCATTTTTATTTCACGGATTTTTTTCAGCTACATAAGCAAACATGTACTGTTACAGTAACCCTCTTACCCGGGCAGCTGCTAAAATTAGCATACCTTCAAACTAAAATTAGCGCATTTTACACGAGTTTTTTCCACTCAATTTTAATGTTTTTGTTCTCTGCAAACACAGTTGAGCAGTCAAACAATCCTCCTTCTGTACTTATTAATATTAACAGTAAAC